AAAATTAATAATGAATTGACTAAATCAAATCGACAAATATTTCACTGATGTTCCTATCTTGACAACAGAGTCATTGAATACTTCTCCAACTGTCGCCGAGTCATTACTTAAACAGAATGTTAATACCTGTTTAAAAGAATTTAGATTTGAAAAAGTATTACCGCATAATATTGTAAAATACTTCAAAACCATTTATGTAAAGAAAACCGCAGATTTGTGGGGGATTTCCGTTACAGTGATTGTGTCCATAATAGATTTAATTGCACCTCATCTTGCTATTATTTTTAATACTTGTATCGATTCTGGTGTGTTTCCTGATTTAATGAAGTATAGTAAAGTAATACCTTTATTTAAATCTGGTAGTACATTGGACCCCTCTAATTATAGACCTATTTCTGTACTATCAACTCTCAGTAAAATTTTTGAAAAAATAATTTTGGATCAATTGGTAATTTTTTTAATACAAATAAATTACTTCATAATAATCAATTTGGTTTTACAAGGGGTCGCTCGACGTCTGACGCGTGTTGAGCTTATGAAATATATTTTAATGCCTGGGAGAATTCACAAGATGCATTAGGTTTTTTCTGTGACCTTTCCAAGGCTTTCGATTGTGTTCATCATGATACATTAATCAGGAAACTACAACATTACGGTGTAAAAAATTTGGCGCTTAGACTTATTACTTCATATTTAAGTAACAGAACTCAAAAAGTCGTCATCAAAGGTAAATGTTTCTCCGGATCGGTAGTATCAATGGGCGTTCCTCAGAGCTCGATTCTTGGCCCATTCCTGTTCTTAATCTATATTAATGACTTACCTTATCTTGTAGGGGACAATCACGATATATTATTATTATTTGCTGACGATACCGCTTTAATTTTCAAACTGAACCGGCAGTCAATTAAATATGACGATGTAAATAATGCTCTATCGAAACTAGTACATTGGTTTAACGCCAACAATTTGCTCTTAAACGGCAATAAGCCAAAATGTATTAAGTTTACAATACCTAATGTAAAACATTCGAAAACCAATGTGCTCTTAAATGGGGAGGAGTTGAGTCTTGTGGATACCACCGTTTTTCTTGGTATTACTATTGACGCGAAACTTCAATGGGGCCCCCATATATCTAAATTAGCAAGCAGACTTAGTTCTGCAGCATATGCTGTAAGAAAGATTAGAAGTCTCACAGATGTTGAGACAGCTAGGTTAGTGTATTTTAGTTACTTTCATAGCGTAATGTCTTATGGAATTTTGCTATGGGTTAATGCGACTGATATTGAAGCTATATTTGTTTTGCAAAAGAGAGCCGTACGGGCGATTTATAATCTAAATTGTAAAGAGTCCCTCAGAGAAAAATTTAAAGAAATAAACATATTAACTTTGGCATCGCAATATATTTAAGAAAATGTAATGTATGTACATAAAAACATAAATAGCTTTAATAAGAATAAGGATGTTCATACCTTAAACACTAGGAACAAACATAAGCTTGTAATGCCAGTTACTACACTCCACAGAATTAGTAATTCATTTATGGGGCAATGTATACGCTTTTACAACAAAATTCCAGAACATGTTCAAAGTTTGTCAATAAACAAGTTTAAAAGTTTTATTAAAGAAAAACTGTACAAAAAGGGTTATTATAGTATCAAGAAAATAACCCCTGGGAATAAGGTGATCGCCTCCATGCAGGTTCTATGAAAATTCATTTAAAATTGTATAAATAAAATTATTGTTAAGTGAAATTATGTTTAAAAAAGTCCCGCTGGGTTTCTTGCTGGTTTTTCCCAGGATAGAGGTATTTTCCGAACCAGTGGTAAATAAAATAATGAGTTTCAATAAGTATTATATAATAATCCATATTGAATAAAAATCATTCTATTCTATTCTATTCTGTTGTCTTTAATTTACAAACTAAAATGGCTGTCAATTAATTATAACGATGTAAATAATGCTCTATCGAAATTAGCACATTGGTTTAACGCCAATAATTTGCTCTTAATGTATTAAGTTTACAATACCTAATGTTCTTATAATATTCTTTTTAAATCTTTTTTAAATACCACTGCCTGTAAGTATAATTTGAAAATAAGGTCTTCAGTTACGATCTTCCTATTTGGGCCCATTTTTAGTCGTTATAGCGGTCAAACCGCGAATTCGCTTATTATATGATCATTATCAAGAAACGGACAACTACGGAACTCTACCTACCTACATAGTGTGTGGCCAGACACGTACTTGGCCAGTTTTTACCAACTTCAAAAAGGAGGAGGTACTCAATTCGACTGTATGTTTTTTTATTTGTGTTACCTCATAAAATTTTCTGGCTGAACCGATTTCGATGATTCTTTTTTTGTTTGAAAGCTGGTGCTTCACATGTGGTCCCAAATAAATATTGATTAAGGTCTGACCAATAGCTTTTGAGTTATTCTTAATAATTTACCTACATTGAAGTCGGTTATACAAAATTATTAATTTTGAATTATTAACCTTCAATTAACGTGTAAACAACGCGTCATAACTATATGGGAGCTCTACAAAAAACTTATGTTATCAGATAAATGATTTGATTAAACGTGATAAAAAATTATCTTTGTAAGTATATGCAATTGATCAAACCTAGTAAATTTACAGAGCTCACTTTGTTGTTTACAATTAGCAGTATCTCATGTATATAAGAAGTGCAATTATTATTTTTAGTAGACATTGAACTTATATTATGTTTCTGCAGTAGTAACTATAGCACTTGTTACATGCAGTATCTGTAATAAAATAACATTTGCAGCGTATTTTGATTTAAAGCTAGAATGTCCGTACAAAGTACACATTTCTTAAATTTGGAGATATCTCTCAAAGACAGTCATCTGAATGATTTTCCGGAGGACCTTAGAAAAGCCTTATTAACAATAATTAGAAAGGAGGGTTATGAATGTTGCAACGTAACAAAAAGAATGCTCTCAACAAAAGGCGGAAACTTTTTAGGTATTTTATATGCAGTGGATATTAAAGGTACAACCAAGGAAGGTGAAAAAGAAATTAACATCTTTGTGAAGCAAGCAAATATTATGAAACAATTAATATAATTTCAATAGCTAACTATTTACTCGAACGAAGTTTACGTATATAGTGAGCTAGCAAAAGTTTTTACTCATTTACAAAATGAGGCGAGTATTCCAGATAATGAACGGTTTAAAATGGCAAACAGTTATAATCAAAGCAACGATAAAGCTATTATATTAGAACATTTAGTTGCAAAAGGTTACAAGTTAACCGGTTACCGGTTAACATCTGTTTTATTCTGCTCCGTAATAATCAATCTTAATTAGTGGTTTAAAGTTGACGTTTAGTGTTAAAATTATATTACACTTTTAGCTTGTAAAACAAGCTCACTAGTGGTACATTCAGAATAAAAATCTGTAAAATAGTTATCAAGTTATAAGTGAAAATATTTCAAAAAATTTAAATAACTGTTGTGTTCCATCGACGAGCTTGACCCGCCAGCTGGAGTGATTCATCGTGCCTACGACCGGCGTGTACGTAGCGAGTGACTGTCGCCTGTATTACAATGTCACCTAGAAGAGTTAATTGCGCGGGATGTCGTGACGTAATTATCGAAGGTAACCCGTTTATGAGATGCGTCAAATGTAAACAGTATTTTGACTTGTTATGTGCAAATTTAACTACACAGATGTACGCTACGCTCTCTTCTGATTTGAAAACCTCTTGGATTTGCATTGAATGCCGTTGTAAAGTACCTAAAGGTGATAACTCACACACACCAATTCGTCAACAATTAACGCATGATATGAGTATTGCTAGTGATTGCCCCGATATATCTTTTAATAGCCCGGACAATGTAACTATTCGTACTGGGGCTCGCTATGCACCACAAACTTCCAGACAAAACGAGTACTCTAGTAGTTTGTTGGAGAAAATCCGGGTTTCTGTTGTGCATGAATTAAAAGAAATGCAGGAGAGTTTTGAAAAAAATTTGACTACTAAAATTAGTAATTTGATTAATGAACAATTTATCACGTTCAAAACCGAACTTTTTAATATGATGACTAGGTTAACAGGCAGAATTACTGAATTAGAGAATAAAATTGAAATGATGACTAAATCATCTCAATCTAAAAACAGCGGCGAGGAAACTAGTACAACTGCATCATTACCCACCGTCCCTCCGTTAGCTCCCACCAATACCCCAAAAGGCCAACAAAATAAAAAGAAGTGGAATAATGCCAAGCAAGATTTTATGGCCTCCAATGGGTCAGTTATCACTCCTCTGAGCTCGGTGGTAGATCGATCAAATAATGCCTCCGTGAATAACACTGCCTTAAATGTGGAGCAGGCAGGGGAATGGGTGGAAGTGAAAAAGGCTAAAAAATTGAGAGCTTCGTTACCTGGAGTGCTTCGAGGTACTGCGGCGCCAGGTGCTACATCTTTGCGCGCTGCAGAGAGGTGGAGGTACTTGCACTTGTATTATGTACAGGAGGGTACAACTGTCGAACAGGTGCAGGCTCATCTTACTTCTATATGTGGAAATGATGTTTGCACCGTGGAAGCGTTGAAATCACGTGGGCGATACTCGTCATTTAAGCTAGGAGTTCCGGCCAAGCAAGCTGAAAGTATCATGTCACCGGCGCATTGGGCAGAGGATATTTGTATTAAACCTTGGCGCCAGAACTTTCGTACCAAAGAAAATAATACGCAGCAATAGGCGTCAACGGTTAATAAAAATGACTCTGTGTTATCAAAATGTTCGTGGATTGCGCTCTAAAATAAGGACTTTTTATAATAATGTGACTCAAGCTAATCTTGACATTATTGCCTTGACAGAGACGTTTTTGACTAGCTCTGTGTCCGATGGTGAACTATTTCCCTCAAGCTATATTGTGGTTCGAAAAGATAGGTTAGGTGACGTTGGTTGGGGAGGAGTATTGTTGGCTGTGCGTGATAGCTGTGAGGTTCGGGTGATTTCGGATATTGACGGTATGACACCTGATAAGGAACTAATATTCGCACTTGTGAGCTGCAAAAATGTAAAGTTTTTATGTTGTGTGGTGTACCTACCACCAAATTATTGCGACGATCAGTATATTGATGTTCTGACCTGCATAGAAAATGCTTTGTGTACTTATTCAAATTTGAATGTATTAGTATTAGGTGATTTTAATCTTAATTCTTGCAGCACTAATGTTAAAACTCAATTTAATATTTTTTGTGACTTCTGTAATCTACAGCAACATAATACGGTACTTAATACTCGCAGTGGCTTGTTAGATCTCGTGTTGAGTGACTATGACCGTAACCAACTGAAGGTGTTTCCTGGATTGGATCCACTCGTGCCAATAGATGAGTATCACCCTTCGTTGGACATCAAAATCAATCTCTCATATGGGGAGTTCTTGCCTGGGCTGCGGTCTTCGCCTGATGAGAGTTCGCATGCGATCCCCGATTGGAATTGGCGTAAGGCAGACTTTCAAGCTCTATATACTGCGTTAGCTAAATTAGATTGGTCCGAGTTAATGACTTTTACAGACGTAAATTCGGCCGTAAATTTTTTTTACAACAAATTGAAGGAAATTATTAATTTATATGTACCAAATAAAAAGCTTTCTCCAAATCATCGTCAGTATGTCTATCCGAAGTGGTTCACGCCTGAGATCATAGAAAATATTAAAAAAAAATATTTTCATCTTAAGAGATTTAAGCAAGAAGGCAAATTATTTAATAAAGAACTGTTTAGCTTTTATCGATGGAGGGTTAAAACCTTAATTGACAACGCATATGAGCAGCACCTTAAGTTGATACAGAAAAGCATAATTGACGATCCGGTATTTTTTTGGAAATATGTTAGTGATAAAAAGAAAGAAAGACGACATACTGAAACGTTTAGTTATAAAGGTGCAGAAGTAACAGGTCAAGATGCGGCTAATGCCTTTGCTGAATATTTTGGCTCAGTATTCCATAATGAAAAGCCCCTATTAAATTATGTAGATGCCGAAAATGCGGCTAACTCACAAAATAACGTGATGCCCATCTCAGTCAGGCAAGTAGACGAAACTGATTTTAGATTGGCAATAAGACGCCTAAAACCACGATCTGCTGGTGGCCCTGATCGCATTCCCGCTTTTCTGGTCAAGGATTGTGCGCCAGCTCTTCGTTCACCGCTCTTGTTTATTTTTAATCTGTCTCTTAGACAGGCTACATATCCAGAACAATGGAAACTATCTAGGGTGACACCTGTTCCAAAGGGAGAACCTGGAAAAGATGTTTCTGCTTTTAGACCTATTGCGGTGCTTTCGGTTCTGGCGAAGATATTTGAAACCATGTTGGACTTTCGCATTAGGAATCAGGTAGATAACATTTTGCATGAAAGTCAACATGGGTTTCGAAAGAATCGTGCAACGACTACTAACTTGATAGCGCACGTAGACTATGTCTGTGCTGAGATGGATTCTAGGAGACAGGTAGACGCCGCCTATTTCGATTTTAGGAAGGCTTTTGACCTGGTGAGTAATGACATACTGTTACATAAGCTAGCTAAGTTGGGCTTTACTCCGAAACTTCTTCAACTCTTTGCTAGCTATTTGGATAATCGTCGTCAATTTGTTAGAGTGAGTGGTTTCGAATCCGCTGATTATTTCACTAGATCTGGGGTGAGTCAGGGTAGTACTCTTGGCCCTACGCTGTTTTTAATTTTTATAAATGACTTGCCTACCAAAGTAAAATTTGCGAAGTGTTTGTTATTCGCAGATGATCTAAAATTAAGTTTGGCGATTGGTAGTGTTGCTGATGCACAGGCTCTTCAACGAGACATAGATGCGGTATCGAAATGGAGTCAACTGAACCATCTTCCTCTTAATGTGACTAAATGCAAGGTTATCACTTTTGCATTAAAACAGAATCCTGTTATTATTAATTATAACTTATACGACGCGCCTTTGGTAAGAGTATATGACATACGTGACTTAGGTTTAATATTAGATAGTAAATTGAGTTTTCACAATCATATGACATCCATATGCAAGTTAGCTAGTAAGACTTTGGGTTTTGTGATGAGGACTGCAGCTGACTTTGATGATATAAGGGTGGCTAAAACTTTGTACAATGCGTATGTTCGTAGTAAGCTAGAGTATGCATCTGTGGTCTGGAATCCTTACGAGAAAAAGTATACTCTCTTGTTAGAGAGGATACAACGTAAATTTGCTCGTTGGCTTTATAAGAAAATTCATGGGTACTACCCTTATTTGTATCCTTCTTTATTCGTCTTGGGTATGGTTGATTTTGAAACCCTAATGTTTAGGAGGGTGATGTCAACTATTAGGCACTATCTTTCTATAATTCACCACAAGTTGGATTGCCAGTCGGTTATGGAGAGAATCGGTTTGTTGGTGCCCAGGTACCTGCATAGAGGTAATGGAGGAACGGTGGCTCCGCGCCGTAGGGCGCGTCTTCTAGATAGACCAGTTACGCGTACCAAACGTGCTGCTTTTGCACCAACAAATCGTGCATTAATACTTATAGGGGACATACTCACTCAGCACGATGAAATTGACCTATTTGCAGACAGTATAACACGTCTGCTGACTCTTTTTTATAAAATCATTGATGATATGACAATTAATAATTGGACAATTTAATTTCGTTGACTATGTACTATTTATACTTTATATTTAAGATGTAATTTTAATTATGGGCATATTAAGATTGTTATTAGTTTTTATTGACATTGCATTATAAATTGATATGACAAAATGTTTAATTATTAATACTTTATGGTTTTAATTGGCTTTATTACCATTTTAATTTCTGACACGGGCTGCCAAAAGCTTCGAGATTTTATATTACTATTATTTTATAATTAATTAATTTATGATTATTAATTTTTGTTGTAATGGATGGATACTATTTCTGAAAAAATTTTTTGCTTGTAAAATTTAACCTTGTGCGCGTGTTGGATTTTCTGTAAGCCACAAGTTTATGAATTAAATAAATAAATAAATAAAATAAATAAGTCATTTAATAGAATGGAGGTCATTTCCTTAAAATTTGCAGAACTATCGATAGAACAACTTGCGAAGTTTCATGGATTGTCTTTCATCATGCAAAGGAATATGCCAGATTTTTATGAAGAGACGATAAAGAAGAAAAAGTGGCCAGTGAAATTAGATTCTGAATGGAACGTTTTTTTTGCGAACATCTGTATCAAAGCCATCGAAGTTCTAGATAGTAAAATACAAGAAAAAATTAAAAAGTTGCTACCGAAATTTGGCGAGGTTTATAATAACAACTTAAACGATAATGCACCAATATGCGTGTTGTGTCATGGAGATTTCAAAGCAAACAATATTATGATGAAAGAAGTAGTAAGTATGCCTTTTAAAAAGTAAGCGTAAACTTAATTTTCTACCGACTTCAAAAAGGAGGAGGTATTCAATTCGACTGCATGTTTTTTATGTGTATTACCTCGTAACTTCTGTGTGAACCGATTTCGACGATTTTTTTTATTTGAAAGCTATTGCTTCTTATGTCGTTCCATATAGTTTTCATCAAGGTCTGACCAATAGTTTTTGAGTTATTCTTAATAATTTATATTGAAGTCGGTTATACAAATTTTTTAAAATTATTTACAAGTGCCTTCCTAATAGATTGTCTCATAGGTATTTGCTATAGTTGCCACGCATGGCAGACGGGTTGACAACCGTAGTATCTTTATTATTATTGCAATGTTAGCAGGAAAATGCTACTACCGATCTCCGGTTTCATTCCCTCTGTTGTCTCTTAAGATACCCAGACAATGATATGAGGTAGTAGATTATTTTACGTAGCTTCTATAGCTCAGTCAAACAACAGATGGTGACTATTAGTATAGGTAGGTATTATTTTTATCGCAAATTCGTTAACTTCTGAACTTATGTACATACTTGTAAACTTTTAATGCCAATTTGCCGGTGAGGTGGACTGAATTGAAAATGCCACGCATCTTAAATACTTCTTTCCCTGGTCTGAATATTTTACATACTTAAATAAGGTATTGAGATGGTTAAGGCCTTTACACACTATAATGAACCAGCATAAACTGGACTTGCCGCGGGAGAAGAGCTCTCCCTATCCTCTGCATGGTTGTGTGAAGTATCTTTCATGGAATAGTTTTTTTTAATTTCTTTACCAATAAGAAGAAAATTATTTTACAAAACGTTATTTATTATTGTTATTAATTTATTTTACAGAACAGCGAAATAATGGAAGTGATACTATTGGATTATCAGATGATTTACCACGGCTGCCCAATTAACGACTTCCTATTTTTCATATTTAGTAGCACAGATCAAAAATTTAGGAGAGAACACTTGGAGCACTTGAAGTGCGTGTACTATGAATCTTTAAGAAACTTTCTAGAATATTTTAACATGGACGTGGAATTAATTTTCCCTCGTAAACTATTGGAACAGATTTATAAAGATCGACTTGAGTTTGGACTACTGACAGGTTTATATTTGTCTTACTTTATGTTTGTTCCCGAGGATGATCTACCTGATTTTGAAAATAACAAGTTGGCAGATGTGGTCATCAATTTTGACGATAAATATAAAAAGTGGGTGCGCGATTTGATCGATGATTTCATACAATGGGGATATTTGTAAAAAATAAAAACATAGTATTTAGTTAACATACTATGTTTTTATTTTTGTCAAAATGTTAGAATTATTATTTATTTAGATAACATAAAAATATACAATAGGTAAATAAATATAATAATGAAAAACTAAAACTAAAATTTTCATACAGTCAAAATCTCCATAGAATAGTGCAAATAACACTAGCGTTTCCTCGCTAAATGGCTATACTTAGTAACTTAGTATTTAAGGGAGAAAAGAAACAGTCGTCTTGTCACCAGCGGCGGCGACAAGCCGTGGTTTTGAAGCCAGTCCCTTTAGGAATATCACCACATGTGGACCCCATGGACCGAGCTGCAACTGTATTTTTTTATATGACAAAGGTGACAAGCGAGCACACAGTCCACCTGATGGTTGCTGTAGCCCATAGACATCTATATCTGTCCTCGTTTGCGAATAAAATGCAGATGCGTTGTCAGCCGTGAGGACTAAGATACTCGTAGAATGCCTTTTTTACAGTGAAATTGGTCTCCGGTTCTCTACACTCACCAAACGAAACACAGCAGCATTAAACTGCTATTTTTCGCTGGTATTTTGTGGGAGCGTGGTCCTTCTCGGTCGAGCCGAACTATTTGTGCTACAATTATACTACTAATATAGCTGTAGCGTGTCTCTACCATGTATAAAAGTATTCGCTATATTATAAAATAAGTCTCTAAATAAAAAAAAAACTCTAAATAAAAGTCATTTTTTATTTTAAAAAGGTGGAGTTAAAATTATATCTAAATCCATCAGATGGTAAGTGGATGCTATGAACCATAGACACCAATACCTGTCACCAATTCATAATCAAAATAGAGTTGCCCTATCATTTCTGAGTTCAAAGTGGACACAGAATCTTAGTATGCCATGTTACGAGAAAAAGGGTCGGTTCTGTCACTCACTAATAGCGAAAAATTGTCAGTTACGACATTAATTGTCGAACGACAATAATGGTGAATGATTGAACTAGCTACTGGCTGCAGTGACCGAAATTCTATATGGTGATACAGACCAGTGTGAAGACACTAATTTCGGTCATTATGACCAGTCTCAATGGGACTAGCCAACTGCGCGGGAAAGGATTATAGTGCACGAATGTGTGCACAAGCACAGGCGCACTCTTTCAAGTCTGATAGTAATCCGATATGACTTTACGTGCATGCCCAGGCACGGGGTTGCAACACTGTCAACTTTCTTGACATTATATAATATCATCATCATCATTACAGCCCTTCACAAGTCCACTGCTGAACATAGGCCTCCCCCAAGGAATGCCACAAAGCACGGTCCCGAGCCACTTGCATCCATCGACTTGCTGCATGTCTTATCAGGTCACTCCATCTAGTCCCCCAACCCGACACCACACACCTCGTCCGCCGGTACGAGGCCGCCACTCGAGAGAACTTTTTTTCCCCATCGGTTGTCGGTTCTTCGAGCTATATGGCTGGTCTATTGCCACTTCAGCTTACTAATCCGTTGGGCCATGGGCTATGTCGGTTACTCCGGTTCTACTGCATATATCCTAGTTTGTCACCCAGAGAAACTACGAGCATAGCCCTCTCCATAGCTCGCTGAGCGACCTTGAGCTTCCTCATCCGGCCAGCAGTGAAGGACCACTTCTGAGTTCCATAGGTCATCACTGTCAACACGCACTGGTTGTACAGTCTCGTTTTCAAGTTTTGAGATATACCTGACTTTGCCTTATTTCCCAAACGCTGCCCAGCCGAGTTGAATCCGTCGATTGACCTCTCAGTCGAAGTTGGACTTACCTAGTCGAACTATTTGTCCCCGGTAAACATACTCATCTACAACTTCGAGGTTAGTGCACCCAACAACTACCAGCATAGGTGTAACACGGACATTAAACATGATCTTTGTCTTGTCCATGTTCATCTTAAGACCTATCCGTTGGGAAGCACTATTGAGGTCATTGAGCATAGTGCTTAGGTCCTTCAGCGATTCTGTCATAAGGACTACATCGTCGGCAAATCGAAGGTGAATGCTGTACTCTCCGTGGATGTTAATACTGTATCCTTTTCAGTCCAGTAGCTTAAAAACGTCTTCCAATGCAGCAGTGAAATGTTTCAGGAATATAACGTCACCCTGTCCTCCTCCACATCTCTGCAGTTAGATAGGTTTCGTACTCTGGTTCTGTAATCGTATAGCCATCGTAGCCCTACTGTACAAACACTTCAGCACTTCGATATACCGACAGTCAATTTGTCACCGCTGAAGGGACTGCAGCACCGCTCAAGTTTCGACGGAATCAAAGTCTTTCTCATAGTCCACATACGCCAGATATAGTGGCAAATTGTACTCCTCGGACTTCTATATAATTTGCCGAAGGGTATGTATGTGGTATATGGTACTAAAGCCTTTCCGGAAACAGGATTGTTCGGGAGGCTGGAAGTCGAGTCTGCATGCGAGACGACTCTCGAAAACAGCAAGTAGACGCGGCTCAGAAGGGAAGTCAGTCTGTAGTTCTTCAAGAGAGCGTTGTCGCTTTTTTTGAAGGACAAAACTACCGCACGCCCGAACAAAACTGCCCCTCCCCTCCAGTGTAGTGCCACCACGGAGGACGGAATTAAAGAGCCTCTGAAGGACTTAAGTACCGGTTTTCCACCCGCTTTTAGAAGCTCCGCTGTAATTCCATTCTCGCCTGGGTCCTTGCTGTTTTTAAGATGCTGGAGAGCCATTAAAATCTTGCTCAGACTGACGTCCGGAATATCATGGGTATAGTGTCGGATGTATAATATATCAAGATATTATATTACTTTACTGTACTTATATATTCTATGGGAACGTGGTCTTTCGTGGTGGTCGTGGTCAAAAAAGTTACAGCCTTTACAAGAGTCACTCATGGGCACAGGCCTCCTCTCATTTCTGAGAGGGTTTTTTAACAAGGAAGTATCCAACGCGCTGCCACAGTGCATAAATTAAGTTACAGCTTATATAGGTATGTCTCACTGTTGGGCACAGGCCTCCTCTCACTTCTGAAATAGTTTAGGCCTCAGTACGTGTTTATAGCTAATAATTAATCGATACTATTATTCCAGTTTATTAAATGCATCTCAAATAATTTAAAATTTAAATTTTGTACAGCTGACGTCCATATAAGTTATTAAGAATAACTCAAAAACTATTGATCTAACCTTGATCAAATTCATATGAGACCACACTAGAAGTACCAGCTTTCAAATAAAAAAAGAATCATCGAAATCCGTTCACCCAGTAAAAAGTTATGAGGTAACAACACACATAAATAAATAAATAAATAAATAAATAAAAAAACGTACAGTCGAATTGAGTACCGTCTCCTTTTTGGCAGTTGGCAGAAAAATAAACGTTAACGTCTATGTACTTCGCTATCAGTTACCTTATTAACATGTATCATTTGTCGGCAGCTTATACTCGTATTATTTATTAAAGTGAATATAATACTAAGAAACAGGATTTCCGATAAAGTGCAAGCTTAACCAACCATCTGCGCCTAAGCTGACTCGGGATTGTCAGGTGGAAATATTGCCAGATGTCGACTGTCTCGCAATTGTAAACGTAGGAAATACAAATGGTTTTCGCTTATTTCTATTGAACGGTTTGTGTCTGTCTATGTTGGGTTTAACTGGGTACAACCGACTATAGACTGAGTAATAATAAATATATATATATATATATATATATATATATATATATATATATATATATATATATATATATATGTATGTATATATATATATATATTTTTTTTTAACACGCTTTTATTAGCATGACCTGTACGTGTGTATGTATGTATGTATGAATGAACGTGTTTTGACTGTCTCTTTTGTCTAGTGGTCGTAAACGCGACTGATGTGCTTGAGCTCCCGGGTTCGAATCCCGGGTCGGATCAAATCAGTTATTGTTTTTTTTTGGCGGTGTTTCACCCCCGTGCCTCGGAAAGCAGTTGTATCTCTCACCGGTCGTGTCGGTTTACCGTCCCATAGGAATATCGGATTCTATGGCCATAAACGATAGTAAGGAATAAAAATATGCGCGAGTGTCGAGGAACACTCGGTTGGAACGAAGTTCCTTATTATTGATAAACGTATTATATTATTGATTAACAAATACAAATAAATGTATTACTAGCGTCTATTAAAATGAAGCGTCATTTAGAATACATATAAAATACACTATGACACAAGGGGGTAGTGACGAAAAAATCTTACACTTTTTGTCGCCTAGCTCCCATCCGCCAAACCCGTACTGTCCGATAAGGAACTTCGTTCCAAATACACAGTTAATAATTATGAACATAAAATATTGTTATTTTGTATAATATATGTTATATAAGTATATTATTTTGTGCGTTTCCGAAAACTGCTCTAACGATTTCGGGTATATTTTATATTTAGATAATGTTTTAGTTTACAAGTTTTTTTTCGGAAGGGTATTTATATCTCTGCATAGTATAAAACAGAGTCACTTCCCGCCGTCTGTACGCTTAGATCTTTTAAATCACGCAACGAATTTAGATACGGTTGTCATCAATAGGCAGAACGATTTAAGAGAAAGATTTATATGTATAATACATGCATATTATATCATTATTCAGTCGTGTGTATGTGACTGAACTCCTCCTAAACGGCTGGACTGATTTTGATGAAATTTTGTGTGTGTGATTAAGTTGATTAGAGAATGGTTTACATTCACAATTGGATCCGGTCGGTGGAGTTATCGTCGAGATCCAGAAATCGACCGTGTGAAGCTGGGGCAATATCGTTAAGTCTATATATATTATGGGATTATAGAAGTTTTAGTTTAGTTTACAAGTTGTTTTTAATTCTGAACATAGCTCAGTCGCCCACTTGCTTAAATAATATGCATATTCGGCCGTCGTTACAAAAAGTAGCGGGTTATAGGTCCAATCACAATCACATCTACACTAAAAAAATCGAGCTTAATCGTTTCAGTCATCGTTACACCATATCGAAAGTCAATTGCTG